TTCTCATCCCGGCCTCGATCCTGGCTGTCGATATTGCACAGGGGATTTGATAAGGTTAGGTCTATGGATAAGGTGTCGTATCGATGCTGTCGATGTCTCTATTATAGGGACTGGTGTGGTTACTGCCGTCTGCATCTGAGAGTGTACCAGAAGCAATGCTTGATGCGGATTGTAACCTTGAACCTGAATAAACATCACAGAGTTTCTTCGGCATATTATTGGTGGAATTTGAGGCAGCAGATTAAATGACGTCACCAATAATTTTAGCATTTGATGATTCGTTGTGCATGATAGGATTATTGGTTACCAAATAGTGTAAGCAATTTAGCAATTTCCTTACTTTCATAGTGTTTATCCTATCTGTGCGCCATATTGAAGCATTCATTAGGTTATGTAGCAACCATAAAGGTAGCAACCCTGTCCTGTGACGTAATAGAAATGTCATTTATGAATGACATTTCTGACTTTTGACACAGACCAGGTTTTTTTCTAGAATCAAGAAGAACAACAACCACGTGCCACGAAACAAACCGTTAATCGCCAGTTTTTCCAATAAAAGTTAATTAAAATAGAATCGCAACTTCTTTTATTTTGTAAACTAACATCGCCGGCCTTCCCTACAACTTCAGGTGTGGGGTTACAGCATTGTTCATGTCGGGGTCTACAGTCTACACTCGGGGGCTACAGCAAGTTTGAGCCGTCTAGTGCAGTATAGTGAAAATTATGTTTTTGGGCAAAATTATGGTTTGCCTGTGATTTTTTTTTTTTCTTTAAGGAGCGATTATCCTATTTAAAAAATAAAAATGGATGTGAACAGTGTCGAGGACTTTGAAAATTTTATGGCGGAGCGGCTACAGCAGCAACCAAATAATAATAATAATGCCGAGCAAGCACCACCGAATCCTGTGCAAGATCCAGCTCAATTGGTGAACGTTGTTAATATGCTGGTACAACAGAATGCACAAATGCTGCAAATGCTTCAGTTGCAGCAGAATCAAGCAGCTACAACCCCTTTTGCTAGGAACTCCCAAAGCCAAGCTGGTAATATTTCAAATTTTAATATTATGCCTGACCTTTCGAAGAGCATAGACAAATTCAACGGTGAAGAAGACTCGAGTAAGGCCAAAATATGGTTGCAGCAAATTGAAAGCACAGCCTTGCTACATAATTGGCCGGATGCCTTTATTTTTCAAACAACAAAAACTAATTTAGAAGGTGCTGCAAAGTATTGGTTCATGGGTCGTAGTGCAGAGCTTGTTGATTGGTCCAGCTTTAAGAATGCCTTCAAAAAAACGTTTGTTTTCATTCAAAACAAAACAGACAATTGGAAGAAAATGCAAGAACGAGTACAGCTGTCAAGTGAGGGGGTTTCAATCTACTTCCATTGTAAAGTAGCATTATGCAAAAACTTGGAACTTTGCTTTGAGGAAATTAAAGAGCAAGTAGCGATAGGGCTCTGGTCCAAAGAGTTGAGCAATTTCATCATGTCGAAAAGCCATTATGACGAAGATAGTTTGTTCCAAGACATCGTTAATTATGAGAGGATTGTTTTGGCACGTAAAACCAGAATTAAGGACAGAAAGGAACCTCAATTAGACAAAAAACCTGCACAAATTTTTAAGCCCGAAATTAATAGGTCCAGTGGCGTGCCTGCAGTTGGAAATGGTAGTGCTTTGAGATGCTTTAACTGTAATATCCTAGGTCATGGTGCTTCCCAGTGCATTAAGCCACCAAGAGCAAAGGGCTCCTGTTATATTTGTGGGTCGCTTCAGCACCAGAAAAAAGATTGCCCAAAGTTTACGCCTACTGTAGTTAGGCCTAAGACGGAACATGCATCTACTTCTTCATTATTAGTGGAGCCAAGCGTCACAAGTGGATACATGTTGCCAATTGAATTGAGTAAGGAAAACATTTCTATTTATGTAAACTCTATTGTGGACTCAGGTAGTGCAATATCACTGATAACTTATGATACTATTAAAATGTTTAATTTCAAATTTTCTGAAATACCAAATAGGTCTTATGAAGGCATAAATAAGACAAAATTAGAAATCTTAGGTTCAGTTTTGTTTCAAATTAATGTTGCTGATATTGTTTTTGATTTACTTTTGTATGTGGTCCCAAATGATACTATACCCTATACATGTCTTTTAGGGCGTGACTTTATGACAAACAATCAAATTATTATATCTTTTACAGGTACACAAGTAAACATTTTGCCTTCACCTTTAAACTTGAGTAAAAGCAAATCTGAGTGTCCCGAAGAAATTTTGCATATAGAGTATGTAGAGCAAAATGAAATTGATTTGAATATAAATCCATCTCTGGATCCAACTCAAAGTAAAATGTTAACCGACCTTTTTATTTCTGATTATTTAAATCCACCAAGGCCTCTTGAGCCACAGACTAAATACGAATTTAAAATTGTGGTAGATCCTAACCATGTTCCTTTCTTTTACAAACCACGCAGGCTTTCTTTTTCTGAACGACAGGCTGTGCAAGAAATAGCCAAGGATTTACTAGATAGGAATATTATTCGCAGAAGCAATTCTGAATATAGCTCGCCTGTTGTGCTTATTAAGAAAAAAACTATGGACTATAGACTTTGTATTGATTACAGGTCTTTAAACAAAATTACTTTACGTGATAATTTTCCTATCCCATTAATTGAGGATCAGATCGATCAATTAAGAGATAAAAACTACTTTACCCAATTAGATTTGAAAAATGCATTTTATTCTATTAGTATTGAACAGTCATCCATAAAATACACATCTTTTGTGACACCTGATGCTCAATATGAATTTTTGAAATTACCATTTGGTACAAAAAATGGCCCTTCAGCATTTATGAGGTTTATTCGTACAATTTTCCAAGATTTATTAGAACAGAATAAACTTTTAATTTATATCGACGATTTATTGATAGCAACAAAAACAATTGAAGAAAATTTAATGATTTTAAAAGAAATATTCAATTTATTGGTACAAAATAACCTACAACTAAGACTGGATAAATGCTCTTTCCTTTATACAGAAATTAATCATTTAGGCTACTTAATTAACGGCTCTCAGATTAAGCCTAATGATGCACATTTGAAAGCTATAAAAAATTACCCGATGCCTCGAACTACAAAACAATTACATAGTTTCATAGGATTGGCGTCCTATTTCAGAAAATTTGTGCAGAACTTTTCAATAATAGCCGGTCCCTTATATGATTTGTTGAAGAAAAATGTACCTTTTTATTTTGGTCCTGGACAAATAAAGAGTTTTAACACTTTGAAAAATTTACTAATTTCCGAATCTGTCTTAGCTATATACTCTCCCACTGCCGAAACTCAAGTCCATTGTGATGCCAGTTCTCATGGTTTCGCTGGAATTATTTTACAAAAACAAACCCTCAAAAATAATTACTGATCGTGGATCAGCATTCACTTCTAAAGCTTTCACAGATTTCTTAGAATCTCAGAATATCACTCATATCTTAATTGCGACAGGTGTACCACGCGCAAACGGTCAAATCGAGCGATTTAATCGTTTTATTATTCCCATGGTTGCCAAATTGACAGAAACTCCTGACCGTTGGGATCAAGTTTTAAATCAGGTAGAATTTGCTATAAACAACACCGTAAATAGATCTACAGGTCAGACACCAGCCAAACTGCTATTTGGAATGAACCAAGTAGGCAAGATTAATGATGATTTGACATTTTTTCTCTCATTTATTAATAAAAACTTTGAAGATATTCATAAATTAAGGCAAGAGGCAAGTCAAAAAATAGAGCGAAACCAAGAATACAATAAAACTTACTATGACCAACGACATAAAGAAGCTAAGTTGTATGACATTGGCGATTATGTGGTAATACCGAACGTTGACGTTACTCCTGGAATTAACAAAAAATTACTGCCAAAATTTAAAGGCCCTTATGTGATTAAAAAAATATTACCTAACGAACGATACGTTATTACTGATATAGACGGATTTCAGGTCACTCAAAGACCTTTTGAGGGTATCTTTAGTGCTGATCATATTCGCCTTTGGGCGAAATCTCCAGAATAAAATATTATGATGTTCGATACTTAATATTTCTACTAATGTTTTTTTTATGCCTTCCCCTTCTTTCTGTTATTATTATGATGAAATAATTTATGTGTATTATGGTAGTATGATATTTTTGAAATTAAAACCTTATGTTTATGTCTTATGAAACTATTATGATGATTATGCCTTATGTATTTATGAACTTATGACCTTATGACCAGTTATGATTTTATGTCCATTCAGGAATTTATGTATACTTGATTATGAATTTATGTATAAGAACTTATCTAAAAAAAAAAAAAAAAAAACCTTATGTTGTAAATTTATGTTATGCATTATGTTAGCTTAATATGTAATATTCTTACATCACATTTTTATGTAATATTCTTATGTCTTAGTCTTATGTTATTTTTTTATGTATATATCTTTTCATATTATTTTGTACTTTGCAATCTTTGTTAGTATTGTGCATACACTCATTTCTTTACCAAAGCGAGGACGCTTTGAGGGTCAGGATGACCGAGTTGTAAGCAATTTAGCAATTTCCTTACTTTCATAGTGTTTATCCTATCTGTGCGCCATATTGAAGCATTCATTAGGTTATGTAGCAACCATAAAGGTAGCAACCCTGTCCTGTGACGTAATAGAAATGTCATTTATGAATGACATTTCTGACTTTTGACACAGACCAGGTTTTTTTCTAGAATCAAGAAGAACAACAACCACGTGCCACGAAACAAACCGTTAATCGCCAGTTTTTCCAATAAAAGTTAATTAAAATAGAATCGCAACTTCTTTTATTTTGTAAACTAACATCGCCGGCCTTCCCTACAATAGGAAGTAATGGACTGTTGTTGAGGACGTGTTGAAATTTTTGTCGATACATCGAATGTCGAGGTGGTTTGGGTTTTGAAATGTTTAGTCATCAAGTGTGTATGAAAATTGAAATAAATCTAACTTTTCTGCTTTTTTCCAGGTTTTAGTATTTTGGGGAGTTTGTATGTCGCGTTACAGAAGCAGGTTACTTTGGAGTACATATCTGAGGAAATATTGTCGTGTTGGTCCAGTGAAGTTACAATTTTAATATCATCAAATTTATGCTGAAGCGTTTCCCATAAATTAGCATTTGCTTTTGATTTCGCCCACTTCTTCAAATTTCGAAAAATTAAGGCATTTTCGTCTGTTAGGTTCACGGCTCGGTTCAAGGCAGGTTTCTGATTGGTAATTTCTTCAAGATTGTTCTCGGGATTGTCTAATTCCTTCTGGGAATCTTCATTCAAAACTTCCAAAGTTTCAACAGAAGTTTTAGGCCTCTTCTTGAGGGGGCCTTCTTGATTACTTGGCGCCTCGTTTGGTGCAGATGCTTGAATTCCTTTTTTATGAGATTTTCTTTTCTTTTTGATATGTTCGACCATCCAAAGAAGGACTTGTTGGTGTGCGGGTAGCATTTTGTAAATCTTCGGATTTTTGTTATATATTCCATAGTATTTTGCACGATCCCCTTCATCGATGAGTTGAAATAAATCAGTCCTTGCAAAATTTGCTATTTCTGATATAGTTGCTTTTGTCATCCCAGCTATTAAAGCTTCATTTTCATAACCACAGCTTTTTAGTGAGTTTTTTTAAAATTTCTTGTATTTTTGTATTAAGTGCCCTCTCGGCCTCTGCGAAAACATCGCTATTCCCAGGTTCGCTAGTATCACTCATCTGAAAAATAGCAATATTTCCCAATAAACCCAATAAAGACAATCACAGCATACCTAACCAACAATCCCAAGAAGAACCAAAAAAAAAACTTAAATAGGGCGATTTGATGTTTGACGTACCGGGTGATTGTCTATATCACAGAACACATATCCTCACGGATAGAAAAAAAAGCTTAATGGAGGGCGGGGCCTAAAAAAAAGCTTCGGATCGCATCCGCTTTGAGGTGCTGGAGTGAAACACAACTACAGGTGCGGAATGAACGCCACCAGAAAATATTTCACAGCTTACTTCAGCAGTTTACCTATATGTGTCAAAAAAATATGTCATAATAGTTTTGAATGATAATTTGTCTTGGTGTTGGTGTGTATTTTAAATACAGAAATTTTTCTTAAATTCAAAAAAAAAAATCAGATTTTACACAAAACATAAGAAGTTTGGCCATTTTCGCTCTACTCGGAAGAAAAAGCCGTCGAATGGAATTTGGCAATAATGAGGAAAAATTATTAAAATTGTTCGGACTTCAGTTCAAAATCAGTTCTGAATTGAACTGCGCTTGCGCATTTGGTCATATCAAACATATATAAACAAATGCGCAAACGTAGTTCGATTCTGAACTGAAGTCCGAGCAAACCATTGAAAATATTGACATTGGGAGAACTATTTTGAAAGCTGATTTGATTACAGAAACCTCTATTATAAATAGTTCGGGTCGCATCCACCGCGCCGTGACGGCGTATTGTTCTCCAAAATTTTATTAGGCAGTTTATCTTCTATCCGTGACGATATGTATTCTGTGGTCTATATTTTGCACCCACACCTATCTCACCTGTTTAAAGAGATACGCAAAAATATCAAATATGAGAGTTGTAGGTAATATCAGAAAGTTTTCAATGATGTTACTTGCAGGATGTGTCACAAAAGTGTGGCGAAACAAAGTTATACTTTTTTAAATGGAAAACCCCGTATATTATTGTTCCATTGGATTAGCCTTTCAAACCTGATTCCAAATATACTAAGTTTTTTAGGTTTATTCCTCATAGTCCAGCCTCGGAATATCACATTTTGAAGAAATAAAATGGATTTTTTTACATGCTCTATTACCTTTATATTTTGCTGGTGGTCTTACTTCACCTTTTTGAAAAAAATGCAATTATTCGACCCCTTTTTGCCCTATTTTCTTCTGAGCTATTAGGAATAAACCTAAAAAACCTAGTATATTTGGAATCAGTTTTGAAAGGCTAATCCAAAAATATACGGGGTTTTCCATTTAAAAAAGTATAATTTTGTTTCGCCACACTTTTATGACACACCCTGTATACTTGTAACCAACATCATTGAAAACTTTCTGATATTACCTAAAACTATCACACTTGACATTTCTGGGTATCTCTTCAAACAGGTGAGGTAGGTATGTGGTGCAAAATATAGACAATCACCCGGTACAAGATGACGCCGCGGTATAACAAACTTGACGTCCATAAGAGACTGTGTATTTTGTGTGAATTTCTAAAGTGTTTTTATCAGTTTGAGAACGTTTTTGATAGAAATTTTTATTTTTGGCGTTGCTGTGGTTCATGTAATTTATGTTTTTGACATTCCACCAATAAAATACCTGATGCCCAGGTATTTTATTGGTAAATAAATATTCCAAGTAACTCGGTTTTTAACTATGAACATTAAAGGAAATTGAAATAAATTAAAATTCATCAAATTAAACTCTGAAACAGGTAGAAATTACTAGAAATAACACACATTTATATGGAGGCATTGTTTGTTTACATTTCGGGCCTCATCGCCATCTTGAATTATCCGCTGATTCAAATCGCCTAATATGAATTAAGTAGGTATTTAAGGTTGAGGTTAGGGGGTCTTTCGTTTATTTATCTACTTTTATCAGGTCAATAATAAATGTTTATTGGCCGGATGGAGAGACTACAATGGGGCCGTCCGGCGCCTTCTTTTTTTATTGGGTTTTTGAAATGCCTGAATCTATACAGGGTGTATCAGGTACGAGTACAAATATTTTTACATGAGATAATATGGCCCATTTCAAGCTAAAAGTGTCCTATTGACCATGGGTCAATTGTTAGTATTTTCGGAGTTATCGCAGAATTTAAATTTAGAAAAATGTCATTCAAATGGCTTTCAAATAATGTACATAATAAGTTGCATTTTTATCAATTTTCTAGTAAAAATAATAAATGTGCAATTTTATTAAGTTGTGAATTGCATTGAATGACATTTTTGCACTAAACATTCAAGAGAAAAATCAAATAATACTTACTCAGCTACATGTCAAATCCTTATTATGAAAATATTAATTTTTGTTAAAAGGATCTCAAAACACTAAAATCAACACGCAGATTTTGCACACTCACAACTCACACTTCTTGTATCACGCAATCTTTGTAAAACGGGCACAATGTTCTTCCATCAGGTGAGTGCTTTTCTTTTGGAAAATCTTTCCCTAGTTTCACTGTGAATTCTGGTGGCTGAATGAGCATTTTGCAACGATTCTGTCTAAACAAGTATCTGCATATTCGATGTTTCTAAACATTTTATTTTCAAAAAAAAATGAATTTGAATTACGCGCGTTTCCCAACTAGAAAAGACAAATTAAGAATCAATTTATTCAGGTCTACCAAAGTTCAACCTTCAACCACCTTTTCTTTATTGTGCTGTGCTGCCAGATGTTTAGATACCCTTTTACAAGTGAAATTTGTATGTTGTTTTTCCAATTTTTTGTTATTGTTGTTGACTAAAAATGCATAATTACTTGATAATTGGATAAACTAAATTTTTCTACATCTCATAATGATTAAAATTTTGTTTAACTTTAAAATATTCGTCAAAAAATGTTAAAACTTCGAAGGCCTTTTTCTTCAAAATGGTTGAATGTGGACCCCATGTTGTGTAAACTTTTTTTGTTCAAAATGGACCATATTTTCATGTGTTAAAATTTTTGTAGTCAAACCTGATACACCCTGTATATATAAAAATTAATGCCACTTTTCGTTGTAATTTTATAACTCAAGAACGGACTCACCTAGCCAAACCAAATGTTTAGGCTTTGTTCGGACTATTTATTAGATGGTTTATGTGAAGTTTGCACAAAATCGGTCGAGCAGTTCTTCATTTATCACATTTTTTGTAATAAATGAATTATTCAATAAATGGAGGATCATTTTGTTAATGGGGATTTTGCTGTCAAATTGAAACTTTTTTCAGCGTTGACAGTACCAGCATGTTGTTATGTCATTAATGTGGTCATTTCATTAGTTATTTTATTTATTTATGAAAAAAATTTACCAAGCCCGCATACGGCGCCATCTCTTATAACCGATACCAAATTTATTTTGTATTTTGTATTTTGTATACCGCGCCATCTCTGATACCTGGAACGAAGCTCAGCATTGCAGATACAGTAGAACAATGCTGCTCAGGAACTGGAGCTATTTCGAACAGAACTATTCCACTATTCCGATCAGATAGAGTGGTGCAGAAAGAGTAGATCAGATAGAGTAGTGCAGATAGAGTAGAACAGATGGAGTAGTGCAGTGCAGATAGAGTGAAACAGGGCTGTGCTAGAGATTTTTTTTGTTTTCTTTACATTCTTTGAACATTCCTGTGCCTGAGTTCATTTATTTGGTGGTACACTTTACAAGAATAATGCCCACAAACTGCCTTAAAAAGGATGATGTAAAATTTTAATTTTAGGTGGCTTCTGATCCAGAGAGTAAACATTAATTTTCTTCAACCAAAGCCAAATTCACCATCGAAAAAAAATGAATTTAATTCAGCTAATAGATACGTTAACACAACATTTAATATAGAGGTGGGAAACTATCGAAGAATCTAACTATGGATATATCGATAGTAACGAATAAAAACTATCGATGTATCGATATAACTATATCGATAAAAAAAAGGGTTTACGTTTTGGACCCATTTTATATTTGGGGTTTCAACAATTAGCATCTAATTAGTCGGCTTATTAGACGGTCAGTACTTTTACAGCAAAAGTGCTGTTTAGTGCTGAATCCTAGTCTTAGATGGCGCAACGATCAAATTTCGCCCGTCGTGAATAACAATGTTAAATTACACACGTTCTTTTTTCTTTAAGCTGAAAGTAAAAAACAGAAATAAGCACCAATATGAACTGAAATAAAGTGTAGTTGAGTTGTGGAGGTTGTTGTTGTTAACTGATGATAACTGAAAACATAACTCATCTTCATCGTTTTTAATTTTGATTTCAACTTTCAACTACCATAGTACCATACCATCAGAACCAAAATAAAAAACAATCATAAATGTGAGGAAACCTCAAGGTTGTTTGATAAAGATAGGTTGCCTGTACTTTTATGGCGTCATCTGGGGTGTCTCAACAATTCCAAATCCTCTAGACACCTCAGAACAGATGACGTCATCAAATTACTCATTACCAGACAACCTATTAACTTCAAGAGCCTTGATGAAAGATGAAATGTAAATGATATTTCTTGACACTTGACATCGCTGACATGAGAAAAGACAGGAGGACTGCTATCGATTGTCCAAGTAGAACTATCGATAGTTCGATAGTGTAGCAAACTATCGATATATCGATAATTACTATCGATAGTTTCCCACCTCTAATTTAATAGGTATATTTATTAATTCAGAGGCGGTACGAAGTTCGCCGGGTCAGCTAGTACAATATAAAATGTAGGTATGTAACAATAATTAGATCGACCATTCGTCATTCAATTAGAAAAAAAATATATTGAATTTGCTGAATAAACGAGTCTATTCAAAACGCGCGCATTACGTGACGTCCAATGGTGCAACCAGGGGGGGTGCTATCGGGCCAGCCCCCTCCCCCCAGGCCGCCCCTCCAAAACTGTATTTTCGCGTTTAAAAAATGTAGCAACATCAAGAGGCCTTGACACCTGATTTTTTTCTTAGATTTTCAGTCACAAGTCACAACCGATGTAGGCCCCCCCCCCCTCAAACATATTTTCTGGGTGCGCCACTGGTGACGTCACATGACTCTAACCAATAATATAGGATTTTTAGGCTATTTTTAGGATGACGTCACATTCAGTAAATTTCTGCTGCCAACCTAACAAAATTGAAAGTACTATTCAACGCATTCAAAGTAGGGGAGTTTCAGATGTTTTTGGTTGGCAACAGCGCGCGACGTTGCATGGCTTGTGTAAACATTTTCATTTCGTTATTTCTAGCTGTCGTCAAAATTATTCACACATGACATTCTGGTAAATTATAAGAAAAAAAATAGGCATTGACAACATTGTCTATCCTTGTTCGATGACGTCACCTGAATATAACATAAAAAACCTATAGTCCAACAATCTCTCGTCAGAGCTAGAAATCAACCAATTGAGGGGGCGTTAATAGTTAATGACAATTGAAATCTATCAGTTCTATGTTGCTTTTTTGACATAAATTAATACTGTAGACTTATCTGGCTGCCCATTTTTCAGGGTTTAGGGCGAGTTTTAGGGTCTTTAAGGATTATTTTCGTTTGTATTCTATTGGCTGGAGACACGACACAAGGTGCGAAAACACCTTTTTCAAATAATGGCGAAAATTCAATCTTCAATAAAATTGTTACGTTTCAATCGTGAAACTTCTCTATCTCGAACTTCCCGAACTCGAAATATTCTCCAAATCAAATTTTTTTCATATATAATACCACAAGAGAAAAAAATTTCTTGGCAAAATTTTCGACTGGTATGAAAGTTTGTTGCTTGGCAATTACCAAAAAGCAACAAACTTGGATAAAACCAAGAGAATAATTTTGCCTACATAATTTTTTCTTGAGTGGTATTCGGTTGGACTATTTCACGAGAAAAACAAGCCAAATTTTCATTTGGATTTATTTTCTTTAAGTGACACTGGTCAAACTCAATAGTTTTTTACATTAACCACACAAAATTTTGTCGGGGGTAATACCACGAGTGCCTGAAAATTACCGATAATTTTCATGAAAGCTTGTTGTTTTAATTCCACGAATTCGAAGAACGTTCTCGCGCTGTCGATTCGATGTATGTGGGCTAATACAAGTCTTAAGTTAGCACTTTTCCATAGTTATTTCGTAATAAATACATCATTGTTAGTTTTTTAGGCGTGCCATGAATGTACTAAGTTAGCACTAAATATGAGGTACTAGATTTTGCCAGCTTGATCTGAAGCTGGCACACATGCACGTAATTTTTTAAAAAATAGAGTTATAATTTATTTTTTTCTCGTACTAAATTAGCACAAAATAGGCCCGAATTTAGTACTCTAGTTTTTCTGATGTGTGTTATTTTCGTTGTGCTAATTTAAGGAACCATAAAAAAAATAGTCCGGCTAATCTGTGAGTATGGATAATATGTCTGGCAAGTGAAAAACTGAAGATCCGAAAATTTTCAGCCAGGCTCACTTTCACTATCTGAGATAAGCCAAACTGCTATTTTCATATACCTACTTTATGTATATCTATTATAGAAAATGTGAAATATTTATGTGTGGGGAAAAAAGGGTACTTATATTTCTCATTGATCTTGTGAACCTATTCAAAAATTTTAGCCAGACTCAAAAATTCTTGCTTTGCATCACCAGGAGAACGAAATATTAAAAGACACCAATTGGGAAAATAAGTGCTAAAAAATTTCACTGCCTCCTGGACTATAATGTATTGATAATGTACATTAGGATAATTATTACACTTGGTTGTTTAATACGATTTATTCTCTAAGACTGAACTCCAAACAAGGCGCTGGTCACAAATTCCCCTAGCGGCAGTTTTCAAAAGAATTTGTATATTAAGCAATTGGCATTTTTACAGAAGCCCAATATATTCTTAAGGCCGGGGTAGACGTTACGTCATGTTCAGCAACTTGCTTGCGCAATCTCAAATTGAACGGCAAGACTGATTCTTTATTTGACCCTTAACTATTCAGTTTTCAGCTCCGTGGTGGATACATTCTATATTTTGGCAAAGAAACATTTATCTCCAACTCCATTTTTTGAAATACGAGTGACAAGAAAACAAAATAAAAAAATAACGCATAGTCTCATCCATAGGTTAAAAAAATATTGGCATTTTGTCAAAAGTCTTATTGTTTATTATACAAATCCTGAAAACTGCCACTAGATGATTTCAATTTGTGCCCGGTCCCTATAATATGCACGAGGCAAGAAACATGACATGACATGATTAATTAATTGACATGAAATAATTAACTACATGGCCACCAGGCCTAACTGGCTCTTAAAATCTACTTTGCACAAATATTGCATGAAGTTTTATATCGGGTCTTCAAAAAAAAAGCAATCAAAGATTGCTATGGTTTTTTAAACGTATGTCTTAGCAATATTTTTCTTTAATTTTGTCAATGAATTCTTATGTCAAAATGACGTGTCAAAAATCCTGACCAATAAAGAATCAATAATGCGACACGTTTTCGTACTCAAAGCAATCTATGATTGTTTTTTTTTTGGAAGACCCGATAGTTTAGACATTGACGAGGATAGACCAAAAACAGATGTAAGTATAACTTTCGGCAAAAAAGGCGATGTACCGGGTGTTTCACCTATAGAGGTAACCGGCAATATACCAGAAACTTAATACCACTAGGACTTTGTAGGAAAAGAAATTATTGATAAAAGAGGCCAAGAGAAATTGATGGAAATTTTTTTCAAGTTTGTAGGATGGCCGCTAGGGGTCGCAGTTGTAATGTCGAAAGATAAAAATAGAATTTTCTCGAAAAAATATCCGATTAGGGACGTCAATAAATATCAGCATTCCAATCTTTGGTACTTTCTGAACAAAAAAGCTCAGGTACAAATTTTTGTCCGATGTGGAATAAAGTGGTGGAAGGAGCTTCATCTTTTAACATTACAGTTGCGACCCCTAGCGGTTATCCTACAAACTTAAAAATAATTCCCAGCAATTTCTCTTGGTCGCTTTCATGAGATTTTCTTTTTTCAAAATTCTAGTGTTTACGAGATATAGCCGGTTACCTCCTTAGGTGAAACACCCGGTATACATACACTAAAAGTGAATTACTCTGGAAAACCAATTAACAATAGGGCAAAGTTGGACTGATTTGATCCAGATTAGAAAATTTGAACATTCGCGCTTCTAGGAACTGTCAAAGCTCGCCATTGATGTTGGTATGTTTATTCGACATATCCATCCATCGCTGTCACGCCTCATTTCCATTATAAATCCAGTTGGAACTCTCCGATCGCCAAGAAACCTACACTGCGCCTAGCCAAAGCTGCCGAGGTGCATTCCTAGCGTCATTTCTGATCATTTTTCACACGCATCAGGGCATAACGCGCGCGCCATTGCCAAGCTTTTCGCAGAAACCGTCAGCGATGCATTCCAGGTAATTTATAGCAATCGTGTTGTTTTGTTTTTGTTGTTCACCATATGAGAAAACAGCCACGTTGGCAACGTTGTCCCAATCTGCGCCTATAGCATTTTCCCATGAACAATCGCGGAACCGCGCAATTTAGTGTAGCTTGAGACACCGTTTATACGCGTACTTGGAGCGCTTCAATACCGCGACGCGAGTTTTTTTAAATTTACTAGCGGATTGGATTATTAGTGGATTCGGATGAGTTGTTTTGTCTAGCTTTATATAAAATTTGAAGGTCGATTTATTGGATTTTTAACATCACTGAAATTTTAAGGAATAAAAATATTATATTGCATGTGGTCAGCACATACTTAATAGTTTTTTGTTGACTTGATTATCGCTGTTACAAACAGTAAGTAACGGAATTCGGTACCAAAGTGTGTTGCACTGATGGTGAATGATTCCAATGTTATCCCACGTTGTCGGAGGTTCGGGTGCTCAAAATGTCCCTAGTGGTTATGTGCCCAATGGACAACCCACTGCAACGTTTCCTCCCGCAAATCACTATCATCAGATTCACCATCAATTTACTAACAGCTATGGAGTTAATGGAGAGCAACAGCAAAAAAGTTTACCATTACAAACGATGCAACCACCTGAAGCTGCTCCAGCAACAGTGCGAACCCAAAACAATGTAGTAGTGAATCGTGCTCATCCTGAAACTAATGTGAACAATAATCGTGCTAGGACTGCTAATAATCATCAGTGGTATCAACCACCGCAGACGCCCTATAATTATGGTGCTAACAGGTTTGTTTTGATTTTTATTAATTAAACCAAGTTGTCATAACATATAAGCTCACTTTACAGGTGTATTAACACCAAATTGAATATGCTCGCGCTATAAATGACCAATGCAATGTTATATTTACAAAAATTGCCCAGCTTATCATTTCACTTGCGGAAAAATGTAGTGATTTTCTTTTCTAACAAGTGCAGAAAAATGAAACTGCTGGGTTGTAGTGTGGAATAATTTTATACCGGAATCTATATAGGTAAACTTAACAAATAACAGACAAGTGGATTAGGGTGTTCAACTCGCCTTATCATAGCAAACAAAAAGCATTGTTGAGAGTCAATGACAATACCACTTTTAAAACCAAATTTTCATTATTTTTTTCAAAATAAGATTGCAATAATATTTTTGCAGATTTGCTTTGTGTCTAATCTAAATCACTTGAGAAGGTATCTCCCTCGGCCTACTGATAAACTCCAATGACTTGTTGTTTTTAAACACACACTAAAGTACGTGTTGAGTGAACTTATTTCGCATTTCGGAAAGCATCACTTTACTGCATAGCAACCATAGACGCAAAAATAATGTTTACTGCAGATTTTTCAAAAATCTTGAAAGTATCACATTTCTGTACTTTCACTCGTTATCGGGACGACAACGTATTTGTCTGCCTAAGCAGGAAATGGTATGTCGTGTATTTATGTCGGAAAGTAACACATTCTCAGCCAACGGTGGTATTTTGCATCCTTGGTCTTCTTTTCCGTTTTTAGTAATAGATTCAGTAGTATCAGTATTTGTAATGGTTTCATCTTGGAGTTTTCATTCATATCCGCTTTCAAAGAAACTGTGAGTTTTTCTGTTACATTGCAATTTGATCAACTAGCCAATAATAGCACCCCATTTTGTTCTGCAGTATAACCCGTTTCGTACGGGTCTTAGAAAAGTAACAAACTGTAACTCTGCCTCCTTTGTGAAATTTTCTTATCAAGTCTTGGTTTTGAATTATCCCTTTTTTTGTAATGTAGGTATAGGTTTAATAGGATCAAGTTTGGTTTGGATCTCATTAATCTGGTTTAAGTTAGAACATTAGTTGGAACATTTGTGAACTCTGACTTCTTCCATATCTCAATTATTTGTGCTACAAATCCCCTGGTTCTGCAACTATCTTGAGTTCTTTCGTGATTCATTATCATTCATAAGAATAAATCCAAATTGTCCAATTTTCTTTCGCTATACTTTAATAGCAGTGGAAGCAGTTTTTGATGCTATTGGTACAATTTCTGGCCACTTTGAAAATCAATCAAGGGGCAAACCACCTATTGCCAAAATTGTGCTGAGAATTTAGAGGAATTTCTGGGGACTTTGAAGAAATTTGTGAGAATTTGGAGAAATTTATGGGAAGTTGGAGGAATGTATAAGAAATTGAAGGAATTTATTGGCTTTAACACTGAACGTAAGGAAAATAGAAAAATACAAACAAACAACAAGCATTTGCAGGGAATTTGTGAGCAGTTTAGAGGGATTTTTGGGGACTTTGGAGGAACTTGCGAGAAGTTTAAGGAATTGTTTGCAAGAATTTGGAGGGGGGGAGGTTTATTCCATAGACCTTGTTCACCTTAGTAAAAAGTAATCGGATTGAAATTAACAAGGATATGAGGTAAAATCAAGCTTCAAAAAACGACATTGAAGGTAGTTTTATTTTTTTTCAGAATAAAGAAAGGGTTGAAATTTAGAAGAAAAAACTTTGCCAAAACTGCGTGGAATTTAGAGGAATTTGGTCGAATATGTGGGGAACTTGAAAGAATTTATGGGAAATTGGAGGAATGTATGAGAAATTGGGGGAATTTATTGGTTTTAACACTGAGCGTATTAAAAATAGAAAAATATATTCCTTGTAACAGACATCTGCAGGGAATCTGGTGGAATTAGCGGGGCGGGTAGTTTGATTTGGGGGGGGGGGGATGGTATACCCCTTGAAATGAATCGGCTTAAGTGAAAAAATATTTACCCATGGAAAAATAACATCACAGTTGTTTTTCTTCTCAGACAAATTTTGATAGTTTATACATTCTCGCATCATGATATGATATTTTGCACGTATCGCGTCTCAGCCGTGCTCAAGACTCTGCCAGCCGTCCACGTCCTCCGAAAATATGCTGCAAAGATGGTGGCACTATCGTCGGTGTGTTGAAGCAGTGCTACAAAATCAGGAATAAGCCACGGCTTAAGCATCTTACAGTTGCTTCAGGCAAAACCCCGAAACAGATGCAATTTTACAAGAGTGTTAAAGAACAGTTGATGCAGCGCTGGTGAGGCAGACTTAAGAATTAAGCACATCAAGGGCATTCCCACGATAGTGAAAATTAACAACGCCATATCGGAAAACTAGATGCATCCAACAGGGGTAATCCCATTTCTTCAACTATATACTGCTGCTATCAAAACGTTCGCGGCTTAAACACAAAAATCCTGGACTTCTAAACAACTGTGGCGGCGTCGGGAATGCACATTATCGCTGTTGCGGAGACATGGTTAATACCTGACATTGGAAACTCTGAAATTATCCCAGAATTTTATGATCTATATCGCAGTGACCGCAAGTTCGACCGTGTGGACTCCACTAGGGGAGGAGGAGTGCTTCTTGGCATCTCGACTTCTTTCAAATCACGCCTGGTCTTACTGTCGGGTCTGGAGGCAAGTGTACCACTTATAGACTTTGTCTGCTGTAGACCGGTTGTCGAATCATTCATTATTTTCATATTTGTTTTGTATATACCGCTTTCAGTACCTAATGATGATGTGGAACTTTTTTCCGACACATTGGTTTCACAAAACCTTCTCCAAAATAAGAAAATCTTTATCGTAGGCGACTTTAACCCACCGCTTTTCGTTAACGACGAATCAATAGATCAAAAGAGTAGAATCGTGAAGAATTTCATGGCCATGTCTATAACCTCTCCCAATATAATGGCATTCTAAATAGCCACAACCGAATGCTGGATCTTGTTTTGTCTAATGTTCCCTGTAATGTTGTAAGGAATGACGTTTCTCTTGGAAATGAAGATGCATACCATCCATCTCTCTGTTTTGATTTTGATGCTTCATTTGCACATGTTAAAGTACTACCATTATCAATTGAAAATCGCATCTCTATGGTGACTACTCAAAATTAGACAAATACCCTTTTATAATAATATAAAATAATTTTTATATTTTTATGCCTAGTCCTGGTACACTATAACAAAAACACCGCACGCCGGCAAAAACACTTGAAAATTGTCGGCGATGCCGTTGGGCTTTATCGCTTGCCGACAAAGCTGAGCCGCTCTTGTTGACAGTGTGAGATATTCTCTTTAGAAGTGGACATAAGTATAAAATTACACAGATAATTGAATAAAAATCAATTTCAAATTTGAATTTTTAATAAAGGAATAATATTCCCATTCAAATATTTATATTTGATTTATTTCAATAGTTTAAAACGGAATTTTAAGGATTACCTACTATATGAATTTTGCCCATTTATTTAATGTATTAACTCTGTATTCTAGAAGTAAATCAGCTAGAATTTCGGGGCAATGGCGTTCGTCATTTCAGTTTTTATAGAAATATCTGGAGTATGTTTATTCTTTATTAACCAATTTGTTTTCATTTGTCATGATAATAATATTAAGACGCCTATGGATTACCACGTGACTTCAAAGAGACCAACTGAGCCGCTTTTTTTATGAAGTTTCAATTAATAATGGTTAAACTATAACAACTTATTTGCGCTAAACAAATATCCACTAAAAGAGTTTAATTTTCGAAAAGCTAATTTCCCTTTATTGTACGAATCTATCCTTAAAGGGGGGTGTGACCCAGAAAGGAAAGTTTTGCATCTTGCTACGATGGTCCGTTTTCGAGTTAGGGGGGTTTAAAGTTACAACTAGGTGTTTGTGACGTCACGCTGAATTATCCAGGGAGAGTATTAACACGTGTTAGAATTTTCCAAAACAAAAGACAATTATCTCCTAATGCGAATTGCTACCACTCAAAGTATAGGGTACGGTCACTGACGACTAAACTAACAGAAGACTGCGATTTCCGCGGTTGTGACATCACAAGCTCCTGCATAATTTATCTTCACAAGGAACTTTCTCGGAGACTATTTTAAATATAGGACTGCGGTTTTCACGAGAGATCTTAAAAAAAAAAATCTTGATTTAAGCAGCTTAAGTCGTTTTTTAGGGTCACACCCCCTTTAATGCCGATTGGTCTGCTGTGTATGCCTCGACTGGCGTGGATGATGCATGCTCGGCCCTGTACAGTGTTCTAAGCTACATTTTTGAATGTTGCGTTCCCCTGAAAATGAAACGGAGTCGGAGATATCCTTCATATTATACGCGGGAGATTATTAATAACATCCGCAAAAAGAAAGTTGCACGTAATAAAAGGTACCTTAAATTCCAAACTCAACTTTGCTCTGAACAGTTCAACACACTTCGTGAACTAGTAAAGACTCAAATTAAAAAAGCTTATATTGGGTACATTGAAGGTGTTGGGCTGTCTATCAAAAATGATCCCAAAACCTTTTGGCCGTTTATCCAGAGTAAAAAAAACCATACCACGATTCCAGGCGAGTTGCATTTTGAAAATGCACAACACTCAAATGCGCAGGACATAGTTAATACTTCTGGCACATTTTTTCACAGCGTCTACACTGACATTATGTAATAGTAACATTGACTTACCATTTATTGAATTAAACGATATAATCAGAGCGGTTAAAAGGCTTAACAAGTTAACTGCGATAGCGATCTCTATAACAAGTTTTAGTTAGGGATTGCCTTGGTGTTCTGGCTGACCTTCTGATGCAATTTATTTTCAACCTCATCCTTAGCTGTTTTCCTTCAGCATGGAAAGTGGCCAAGGTAATTCCAATCTACAGAGCGATCGCTCATTAATAACCAACAGACCTATATCATTACTCTGTAATTTCTCTAAGATATTCGAAATAGTTATACATAATAAA